AAAAAAAAAAAAAACACATAAAGAGAAATGAGAGACAGAAAGCCATATATTGGGAGGAGAGAATCAGCACAACAGAAACACAGATAAATATATCGACCTAGAAATACAGCAATATGTAGGATGTGTGCATATATACATATGATACAGAATAAGCCAATTCGTAATATATATGTTAATATCTAATCACGTATTGGATGTTATGCACACACCCTATAATGAGCTAATTCATAATCCACGACCTCCGAAGTGGTGTATGTCCCTGCACTGTCACAGACGGAACACATATTCCCTAGACGGCCCATTCTCTGCGGCATCCAGCCATACTGCATGCAGCTTTTATTTTTTTTTAACGTTGACTTATTTTTGAGAGAGAGCGCTAGTGGGGAAGGGCCAGAAAGGAGAGAAAATGCAGCTTTTATTTTCTTTTAACGTTTACTTATTTTTGAGAGACAGCGCTAGTGGGGAAGGGCCAGAAAGAAGGAGAGAAGAGATCCGAAGCAGGCTCCACATAGTGAGCAGAGCCGGACATGGGACTCGAACTCAGGAACCATGAGATCATGACCTGAGCTGCAATCAGGAGTGTGCCACTCAACCCACTGAGCCACCCAGGCGCCCTGCAGCCTTTTTTCTTTAAAACTTCTATGTGCCACAAGAATATTATGATATTCTGCTTGTGTGTTGATGAGACAAAGGTTCAGAAACAGCTCTGAGCTTCATGATCGCCAGTGCACAAGGAAAGAGGCGGCTTTTCTAATTGCTTGGAGAGCTAGATGGTATCAGAGACGGGTACAATGCAGGCCCCCCGCCCCCTGCTGGGGAGTTCCTTGCACATTAACAACCTGTGGGTTCTATCCAGGCTTCTCTTCAAACTTCCCCCCTCCAATGCTATTTCTAATTCACCTTGAGGGCAACCCAGGGACCTCCTTCTTTCCCATTCCTGGTAGATGTGGCCTGCCCTTGAACTTTGTATGGCTCAAGCAGCACATGGGGGGGGGGGGCTGGGGAGAGGAAGGGCTTGATCTCCTTCCCTCTTGGACCCCTCAGTGTTCCAAAGGTACCATCAGGGCTCACTCTCTCAGACTTATGACGAATTGTGTTCAGAGGTAAAGTATCACTCAGATTTGCCTTCGAAAGAAATTAAGTCAACCTTCAAATTTCCATCCAGAACATGCTGTCCTCTGCTTGTGATTTTGGCTATCATGCTTGGATGCTTTGGGTGCTCTCGTGGATTTTTTTGAAGTGGGTGGCATTGACAGATTTGGACTTAGCTATTTTAATTTGGATTTAGCTATTAGATTGCCAGTCAGGACTGCCTCCTTTGAGCCCCCAGGACCAACCAGCCCATTCTTTGCCTTCTTTGGTTTTTCTGTCCTCTATTACTAAGCCTGTTAGAATAGTCTCCAAGGGCTGGTTGCATAAAGCCCTGTGCAGCAAGACTCAGAGGCCGCGGCTTCCCCCTGCTTGGCCCAGACTCTCCCCTTCTTGCTCACAGCACTTTGAAAAATAGCCACTGTCTTGTCTGCCTTTCCGGCCCATCAGCTGCCCAGGACAAAAGTTTTTGTCCCATATACAAATGCAACCATCTCAGGAAAAGGAGTCAGTTAAAATCTCATCACTGTTCACTCAATGTCATATAGAGGGTGCTGGAAAAAAGTTAGCACAATATGGGCGACCAAACCCAGCATCACTTACTGGACCCAAATAGAATCAAACACTAATTAGTTTGGACTAAAGCAGCATCATTTCTCACACTGGCAAATGTGTGCCTTTGAACACTTCATCTGCACAAAATACACTGAACGGCTTGCTAGGTGAATAGATCTTTTTAGGGCACAGATTCTATCTTTTAGGATTTTTTCCCACAATGCCAAGCATTGTACCTCACACATAGTGAGTGTTCTAGATGTATTTGTGGATTCAGTACTCATTTTTAAAGCTCTAAATCAAGGCTTAAAAATAGATTTTTTTTTTTTTTCTAGAGCGCTGGTTGGTGTGGTTTAGGGTAACCTATGTACTGAGAGAGGTTTAACTGATTTCTGGCGGTATTAGGACTTTGGCCATACTATTTCTTGCGCTTCTCCAGTTGATTTTGAGTTCCTGTATATCATTTTTATGTTGGCAACATCTTTCTGACGGCGTTAGAGGATAGGATTCCTTTCTTCTCCAGCTACCCCAGAGATCAGATCACTTTCACCAGACTGCAACAATCAAGTCTGTGCATATTTAAGCACAGTCTCGAAGTTATTCAGCACCAAAAGACTTTGGATACTGCCCCCACTCCCCACAAATAGAACACGTAGTTGGCAAAATTTATTACCAATGACATCATCTTTTTCTATGGACCTTTATGATTTTTTTCTTTCCCAAATTAGGTAAGGTGTTCTTTGCTCTAGCTAACCAAACCAAATATCACTGAATATCAGAGATAAGAACTGTGTTACAACAGCCGTAACATGTAAGACTCATAGAGAGTAGAGTAATCCCAAAGATTAAAATGTAATTTACTCGTTGTAAAAATGAAGGCTTGGGGCACCTGGGTGGCTCATTCGGTTAAGCATCTGACTTCAGCTCCAGTCATGATCTCATGGTTCTTGGTTCGAGCCCCCACATCAGGCTCTGTGCTGATGGCTCGGAGCCTAGAGCCTGCTTTGGATTCTGTGTCTCCCTCTCTCTCTGCCCTTCCCCAATGCATGCTGTTTCTCTCTCAAAAAATGAGTAAACATTTTAAAAAATTCTTAAATGAAGGCTTCTTCTCAGAAAAGTCAGGACTAGTTAGAGTTGAATAGAAAGTCACAGCCAGGGGCACCTGGGTGGCTCCGTTGGTTAAGCGTCCGATTTCATTTCATGTCGTGATCTCACGGTTTGTGGGTTCGAGCCCCGTGTCGGGCTCTGTGATGACAGCTCAGAGCCTGGAGCCTGCTTCGAATTCTGTGTCTCCCTCTCTCTCTGCCCCTCCCCGACTCATGCTGTCTCTTTCAAAAATGAATGAACATTAGAAAAAAAATTTTTAATAAAAAAATTAAAAAACAGAAAGTCCTAGCCAAAGTGAGAGCAGAACCGTGGGTCAGTTTCAAGGTCGTCCTACAGAAGGACTTTGGTGTTGGGGCCGCATTTATAGCGAAGTTTACAAAAACTGCAGAGAACATTACTTACCCACCCCAAAACAGTAGACTATGCTGCTGAAGAATATGGGAGATGTTAGATCCCCCAAGAGACTCCCTGACACCCTATTTCACACCGAGGCTGCTGCATATTTAGTTTTAAACACTTTATGTTTTGTTTTTATCCATCCACATAAGTGTGTGCTTCTACTGAGATTTTCAGGATGCTCATCAACCCCTTTAAATACATAAAGCATAGGGGCGCCTGGGTGGCTCAGTCAGTTAAGCGTCCGACTTCAGTTCAGGTCATGATCTCACAGCTCATGAGTTCGAGCCCCACGTCAGGCTCTATGCTGACAGCTCAGAGTGTGGAGCCTGTTTCAAATTCTATTTCTCCCTCTGCCTGCCCCTCCTCTGCTCACGCTCTCTCATAAATGAATAAATATTAAAAAATAAAATATGTTAAGCATATAAAATCATCTCCATGAAAAGTCATAAGAATTAAGCCCTGTGAGGGGCGCCTGGGTGGCTCAGTCGGTTAAGCGGCCGACTTCAGCTCAGGTCATGATCTCGCGGTCCGTGAGTTCGAGCCCCACTTCGGGCTCTGTGCTGACAGCTCAGAGCCTGGAGCCTGTTTCAGATTCTGTGTTTCCCTCTCTCTGACCCTCCCCCGTTCATGCTCTGTCTCTCTCTGTCTCAAAAATAAATAAACGTTAAAAAAAATTTAATAAATAAATAAATAAACATTAAAAAAAAAGAATTAAGCCCTGGGAGAAGGTTTTAAAAATTGGAAGGCATGATGTCAAATGCAAAGTATTTTTCAGTGCTACTAAAACAAATTGGCAAAAAGAGTGTTAGTTGCTTAGTTTGGAATTGAACTCGAAATCTGTACCTAGCACGATATGATACTCAATAAATATCCTTGAATGAATTAGTGAGATGCTTTTTCAAAATCAGAATAATTATTGGGGCCCCTGGGTGGCTCAATCAGTTAAGCGTCCGACTCTTGGTTTCAGTTCAGGTCATGATCTCGTGGTTTCATGAGTCTGAGCCCCACATCGGGCTCTGCGCTGACAGTGTGGGGCCTGCTTGGGATTCTCTTTCTCCCTCTCTCTCTACCCCTGCCCCACTCATGCTGTCTTTGTCACTCTCAAAATTATAAATCAATAAATCAGAATAATTATAATAATTATTGTCACCTAATGTTGCCTTTCAGGGAGGTCACATTTTGAAAATATCTCCCTCTCTAAAACACAAAATGAAAAAGGTTACAAATACAGTATATTTTAAATGTTCACATTTAACACATGAACATCTGTAATACAAACACAAAATAACCGTCATTATTTGGAGATAATGTCAATAGTCTAAATTGTGGTCCTTCATAAACGTGAGGTCTAGGTTAAAGCCTTCCCCACCTCCTCCTCCACGTCTGAAGTCCTGACCACTCTTTTACCCATTGGGCAAAATTTTATCTTCGGGTCGCATTGGGGCACAGCTATTCTTTGACAACATTTTTCAGTTATTATGAATTAGGCAAGAATTGATCATAATCCTGGATGGAAATGACCCGAGATATGGTTGATCTCACCAGTCCTCAGATTACCAACTGGCCCATGAATCAACAAAATTCTCTGCCTTTCCCAGGGGAAGAGACAGGAGAGAACGCCTGCTTATGGAACGGAAAGGTTTGGAAGCAAAGCCAAGAGTGCCCTCTTGTGGCGAATGAAAAAAATGACTTTGTTCTCCATTGTAGCTTCATTTGGTGGTGGCTTTCCCCGGGGTTACCACAGCATCGTCGAGTTCCAAGCTGGCAGAATATTAACTAGTCTTCTTGCCCTAGAGATCTGTGGACATCCTTGTGTCCTTCTCAAAAGAATATATTTGTCAAACCGGCTTGAAAAGGAGAGTCAGAACTCCTACCAACTTGTTACAGGACGTCTTGAGACACAAGCTCGTACCTTGCATTGCACTCGGCCAAAGATAAAGCAAGACTGTTTTGTGCAACAGTAGAATAAAACAATGATGAAACATTAATCCAGCCAGGGCTATAAGGACATAAAGGGCCTAGGCACCAGTGTCAGGAACAAGAGGCCAGTAACAAAGGCAAATGTGCAAGGTGACAGGACTGTGTCAGGAACAGCTGGGCAACATCTCCACCTCTGGACTGTCCCACACACCCAAGAAAAGTCCCACAGAGAAAAGTCTGGAAAGAGGGGAAGAGAAACACATGCCAGTAAGAGGTGGACTCTGTGGAATGCACCAACCCCCCTTCCTACACCTCGTCACCCCAC